AAATAATAACTAAAAATAAAATAGTATTTTAAAAGATGATAAATAGAATTTGAAAAATCACAATATAAAATTTGAAATAGCAGTATACAATAAAAATAAAAATAAAAATGTATGTTTTAATTCTATTATTTTCCAAAATAATGCTTTTTAAATCCTATTAGTGATAATTTTTTTATATAATATATGTCAAACATTACTTATAGTAGTTTTGATATATCTATTTCTATATTATATTTATCCTTGAAAGTGGTTTAAGAAGGGTGAGGACCTTAAACTTTTCCGTAACCCGTCCAAGCTCGGGTAAAGAAGGTAGGTTGTGTTAGGTAGGCAGCTTAACGAAACCCAATTAGCTCTTGTTCATCACAGGTTTTCCAATCTGTATTGACCATAGGGGCTTTTAATAACTCATGGATAAGTGGGTCATCCGATATTACAATGGTATAATACCATTTGACATACTGTAACCATGACTTCATCCAATTAAGGAATAAAGTCAGTTCTAGTATCTCGCGTTCACCATCAAAATAAAGTAAACCTTTGCCAAAACTTATCATGAATCCTGAAAATACTTATCTACTAATGCTAGGGTGTCCCCTGTGAGTGACACGCTATACCGGAACCTGGGAACATTGAGAAATGAGCTAGGGTTAGTTAAGGCGTTCCCCAAAAGCGATGCGCTGCAGTGTCGCCCAGTTGCGGTGAAAAATAGGCAAGGGTTCCTGCGATATTATGGAGAGTGCGGGTAAAGAAGCTAGTCCAAGATAATAGAATTTGTCTAGCCACATGGAATGTAGGAATGCTTACAGGTAAGAGTATGAAGTTAGTGGATACAATGAGACGAAAGAAAGTAAACATAGCTTGTTTACATAGGAAACTAAATGGAAAGAAGAAAAAAGCTAAAGAAATAGATAGGTATAGATTTTGGTATACCGGAAAGGATAGTTGAAATGGCATAGGAAGTAATAGTAACATAAATTTAAAAGATAAAATAGTCAATATCAAGAGATAGGTGATAGACTCTTATTAATTAAACATGTATTAGAGGAAGTGATAATTAATGTGATTAGTGCTTATGCACCACAAGTAGGATTCGAAAACATAATTTTGAGAAAATTTTGGGAGGACATGGATGGACTAGTTTAAGACATATCAAATGGAGAGATGACCTTCTTAGGTGGGGACTTAAATGGTCATATAAGAAAGGATATTAGAGGATATAAAGGGGTACATGGTGTTATGGGTTTGGTGAAAGAAATGAGATGGGTGAGGCTATACTAGATTTTGCAATGGCATGTGACCTAGCAATAGCAAACACTTACTCTAAAAGGTTATCTCAGGAGAGAGTTTGACTACGCAACATGGGCTCATAGTTATGAATGTCTGCATAAAGAGATAGAAGAGAAGGGGTGAAATTAATAGATGTCCAAGAACTAGGTGGTGGAATTTAAAAAATGAGAAAATAGACGTGTTTGAGGATAAATTAGTCGAAGAAGGAAAATAGAACTCTAAACATGAGGGCAATGTTATGTGCAATGAGATGGCTGACTGTATTAAGAAAATGGGAAAATAAGTTTTAGGGGAAACTAGAGGGAAAAGAAATTCTAATAAGTAAACTTGGTGGTAGAATGATGAGGTTCAGAAGGCCATCAGCAAAAATTGGTCATGTTATAAAACTTGACAATGTAATAGAAATGTTCAAAACATAGATTAATATAAAAATGTTATTATGCCAAGAAAAATGCTGAACAAATAGTAAGGCGTAAGGGTAAACTTAAGGTATATGATAATCTATATATTGAACTGGGAATAAGAAAAGGTGAAAAAGTTGTCTTCAAATTAGCTTAAATGAGAGAGAAAAAGTATATGAATCTAGACAATATTAAACCCATTAAGAGTGAGGATCAAAGGGTCTTGGTGAAGGAAAAGAGGTTAACGAAAGGTGAATAGTTTATTTTCACAAACTATTAAATGGCGATACAATGGGACCATATCGGTAGAAAGAACCATTGACATAAATGAGGGTGGAGGTCTTAGATACATTCGTAATATTAAGATATCGAAAGTGAAAGAAGCTTTGAAGAGTATGAAGATAGAAAAGACTTTAGGATCAGATGGTATCTCGATAGAGGTTTGAAAGTGCATGTGGGAGATCGGCTTTAATTTGTTGACCAAGGTATTTAACTTTAACAAGGTGCTGAGAGCAAAGAAAATGCCAGATGAATAGAGGAAAAGTATTGTAGTAACTATTTACTTGAACAAATGAGATACAAGATTTTGTGAACTATCGAGGGATCAAACTTATGAGCCACACTAGGAGGCCGTGGGAAAGATAGGTTAAGCAACGATTAAGGCATAAAATGAGTGTATTGGAAATCAATCTGGTTTTATGCTAGGAAGGTCAACAATTGAGGTCATTTTTTGACTTAGGCAACTGATCGAGAAGTTTAGGGTGACGGAAAAAGGCTTCCACACGGTCTTTTTATTGATATAGAGAAAGCTTATGATGGAGTACCTCGATATTTGATTTGATGGGTGTTGGAAAAGAAAGGAGTCTCCAGATACTACGTCGACTTGGTGAGAGATACATGTGAGGGAGTGCTAAGTAGTATGCGAACAACTAGTGGAGAGACGAATGAGTTTTCAGTGACAATAGGTCTACATCAAGGATCAGTGTTGAGCCCATACATTTTTGTCGTAGTTATGGACGACTTAACTTGGCACATACAAGATGAGGTACCATGGTGTATGTTGTTTGCGGATGGTATAGTTTTGATCGATGAGACTTGAAACGACGTCAACTCAAAATTGGAACTTTGGAGGGATGCTCTAAAATCTAGAGGTTTTAAAATTATTTGGAAAGAGATTAAGAGTATCTAGAATTCAAGTTTAGCAATAATAGGAGTAGAGATGAGGAAGTAGTTTAGATTGACGGCCAAGAAGTACCAAAACGAACCCGTTTTCGGTATCTTGGGTCGATAATCTAGGAAAATAAAGAATTGAGGAAGATGTCGCACATAGAATTAGAGGGGCGGGGTTTTTTTTTTTGTGGGCTGGGATTTTTTGTTAGCTACTCACTTTATTTTTTTGTACATTTGCAGTACACTATGTAAAGGGATAATTTTATAACCCATTTTGTATAGGGTCTGATGACCTATTCTTTTTTACCAGGAGTGCCGTTTACTTAAGGTGCTCTTGGATTTACTTTAACCTCATTGTATTTATCCTTTTGATCAATACAAAAGTTAACGGTTATCAAAAAAAAAAAACATAGAATTAGAGTTGGGTGGGCGAAGTGGAGATGTGGAACCGGAGTTTTATGTAATCACTGCATGCTAATGAAGCTGAAGGGCAAGTTTTATAAGACAGTTGTGAGACCAATTTTGCTTTATAGGGGTTGAGTGGTTAAGAAACAACATACCTATAGGATGAGTATAGATGAGATGAAGATGTTGAGACGGATGAGCGGCAAGACAAGAAGGGACTGAATTTAGAATGAATACATCTGAAAGAACTTAGGTGTGGCACCAATAGACGATAAGATAAGAGAAAGTAGAATTAGGTGGGCTAATCATGTACAACGTAGACCCAGTACAACGCCTGTTAGGAGGTGCGAGTTGGTTCAAGTGGAAGGCTTCAAAAGGGCCAGGGGTAGGCCTAAATGACATGGTTGGAAGTAGTTAGAAAAAATATGGACTTAGGGCCTCAATGAGGGTATGGCCCTTGATAGAGTAGAATGGTGGACCAGGATTCGTTTAGTCGACTCCAAATAGTTGAGAAAAGGTTATGAAGATGATGATTTATCCATGAAAGATGTAAGCTCAAATCTCTTAGAGATTAATTCATATTTAAAAAATAGTGTAAACTATATTCACATTTGATAAAATAAGTATTTTAAGTCTATGGGACTATGTTGACATTTGAGTCCATGTGGGACCATATTTCTTTTTTGAGTACGTGAGAGAGAATAAGCATATATAGTACTTTTGATTTTTGACTCTCATGACAAATCGTCATTATCCGAACCTTATCCCTAGTATTTGGGGTTCGCTACACAAATCATGTTCCTCCATTCCACGCTATTAGGGGGTCATATCCTCAGTCAAACCAATAAGTCGCCTCATGACTTCCGTCCATGTCCTTTGGGGCTTTCCCCTTGCCCATATGACAAATATTATACCAAACGAAGTGCCATCATTTAATATTGTTTGTCTTGGCCTTTTGGGAATCCCATCATTTCTTTAGGCTGAGTTGTCTCTTACTTCTTTGTTTGGGATATCTATTATACTTGTAGAGTGAAAGCCACAATTGTTGTTGATGGTGTGGCGGTTTGTATTTTTAACAGAGTTGGACATCATGGGGTCAAAACCCCGTAATTCACGAGAATCATGAACTAAAAAACTTGGAACACAGAGTGTCCATAGTCAAGATATGCTTATTAACTGTGTCAATGCAGCGTGTTGACAAAATTTATTCCTTGACATGTATGGACTACGTGTCGGACCAGTGTTGAAGCGTGTCCTCGACATGTGTCTAAGTGTTGACACACGGTACAAGAGCAAAATTGGAGTGTCTTGGTAACACTTGTTGTAGTTGGGGTTTTAAGTGATATTAGGTACATACGTTGTGACATTTTAAAAGAAAAAAAGAAAGTTAAGGCCGAAGTTTCTAAGTTTCTAAATTGTCAGACGTGTTATATCCTATTGCCACATGCGAGATCTACTAAAAAATGTCCATCACTTGCTTTCATTTTCTGATTCTGTGTTATTTTTTGTTTTGCTTATATGTGAACTTGTTGGTTCTAGGCCTTTTGGCATTTGGCCACATCCCATTTAAAAAAAAGAATTTACCGGACCAAACCAGCCTTGTAGGCTCGGTTCCGATCTAACTGCTTCCGGTCCTATGTCCGGTTAACCGTTCCGGATCGATTTTTCGAACACTAATAGAAAGTATATAAAGAATACAAGAAATGTACCAATGATGCATCAACACCTTTGGTACAGGTACGAGTTCAAGAGAGGCAGCGTCCTAGGAAGAAGCAAAAGGTAACAAAGAAGGCCAAAGGACGGGAGTGGATCTTAAAGAAGAAGGAGCAAATGAGGAAGAAGGAAAAATATGGGTACGGGGAAAACATCCCTCCAGACACGAAATACACAGGACGCAAACGAAAGGCACGCTTTTGAGCCATTTATTGAAGTCCAATGAACCATCAAATTGAGGTGACTGTGAAGCCTAACCGTCAAGTGTTTTGAAAAGACAATGAAAATTGTTGTCCAATCTTTACTTGGTATAACTTGGGACTCGCTTGAATTTACTTTTCTAAGTGGGTAGTCCCACGTAAATACCACTAGACTAGCCTGAGTCTCAATCTTGGGCCTTTATAATGTTTTTGCCATAGACTAACCGAGTTTCAATGATACATGGTTGGGTCGAAGCGCTTGACTCAAACTCAGTACCCTGGACAGGCCCTACCTGAGTCTGGGTTTTAAAACACTGTTACAGTCCATTGTGGTTGTCACTGTCCGATTAAATTATGGACAGTGGTGTCGAGAGAGTGGAACTCACAAGAACAAAGCATATGACCCCCACAGGTGGTCTCCACTCTCTTGATGACCCCAGTGAACTACGATATGCTTTTATTTCACAAAGAACGTTATATAATTTCGAACTAAGGCAAAATTTGGAAAATTTTCTTTTACAGATGCTTCAATTAACGCAAGTTCATTTACGCACTGAACCCTTCCTTGGCAATGGTTATGGTGAGCCAAAGGTGTATATTTATTCCTCTATTGCAGTATCAATTTTGGAAATCAATCTGAGGTGGATGGACCTTCACACCACTTGGGTATGGTGCTCAAATCTCTCTACTTTGGATCCCATGACAGGTTTTTGGGGTTTCTGCAGTTGAGGTTGAGAGAGAGAGAGAGAGGCTTGCTGACTTGATATTCAATCATTGAGTGTATTTTAATTTCTGCTTTGGCTGTGGGCGGTGCATATCCTTTGGTCTTCTGGTCCCTTTTGTGCCAAAGCAGTGGGCGGTGCGTTTCCCTTGTTCTTCTGGTCCCTTTTGTGCCTAGAGGGCTAGACATTATTAGTAGGAAACATTATGTGGATGTCTATCTCTTCCCTTTAATGTTTTTTATGTTTACAATATCACTTGTCTCATAGGCATTTATGAGTTTATAGGTATTTTGGACGTTTTTCTTTGCTTTGAAGATGAGGGGGTTGTTGAAGTTTCTTGGAACCCTAGTCAAAATGACCCTTGGGTATTGCTTTTTTTTCTCCCCCCCCTTTTTGAATCTGACAGTTGAAGTTTTTTGGAACCCTAGGATATTGCTTTTTTTTCTCTCCCCCCTTTCTTGAATGTGACTCTTGGGTATTTCATCTTATGAACATGCACTGAACTTGGGAATGTTACCTTCATTTGTGGATCGCTTCCCAACAATTAATAATTGCATAGTTATTTTATGTATACGGTCGGACATTTCATGAAAATATTGAGAACTTCGGAAAAAAGAGGTGGTCTGCTGAAGGTGTTATTTATTTCCAATTCCTTCAGTTTGCAAATTAGGTTGTTTTGGTTCTCTTTTCAATTCAGGTTTTTATTATGGAAGTACGCTCAAAATTTGGGCATTTTAGTTTTCTTCGAGTTTCATTTTTCATAACCCTAGGGGCGCACTAGGTCCTTATTGTAGATTTCTTGTGATGTGAGGTCCTTTTTGGGAGAGAATTGGGGAATTCTTTTAAATTAAATTGTGTTTCTGAATTTGATATTTGATTATGAGGTGGGTCTTTTTAACGTTGATTTGGTAGGTCATTAATTTAGATGCCTTTCCTTCTTCAGCATTGGCGTAGATGGTGGTTTGCCTTGATAGAGAAAGATCTGGTGCCCTTTATTTATTAAAGTTAGACGAGTTGGTGCCACGAATATATCGGGTTTAAGTATTTGAAAATATATTAGAGGTGTGAAAAACACGCAGACCTTTCCCTTCCAAAGGTTCCCACTTTTTTTTTTTTTTCTGATGTTAATGGTAAGAGCATTTTCACTCCATTAGGGTTGAACACGTATTTGTGATTGGGTGTGCGATTGGGTATGTTATGCAATCACATATTCGATTCAGAATCGCCTAAGTCAGATTGGGATTAGGAGGGGGTGATTCGATGACTGTGGGCCCAATTTTGATTTTTAAATACATTTAAAACATGCAGAGAATTTGTGGAGTCTATGCTACAAGATTTACTATTGATTTGTTATGCAAAAGCTACGGTTGGAGTGTCCGTTTTGAATGACGGATGGTGGATGGGAACCGTTACGCCAATTGGCTGATAATGACAAGATCATTTCAGCTTCACCATTCGTATTATATTTATATAGAGAACCGTTTACTACTGGTATGGTGTGACAGCTTAGGGGTGTGAATGGGTCGTTCCAAGTCTGAATCGACCACAACTAGGACCCGACCGGACTGGGTCCAGCTAGGACCCAGACCTGACTAGGATGGTTGTTGGGTCATCCAACCAGCTGGGTTGGATTGGGTCCCTATCTAAATAAAAGAAAATTGGATTTTATTTTAGAATATTTACAAGTTTATATAAAGTTGACACATTAAAATGTAAAATTAAGGTGCATCTCTAGAATCATTCGAAAAAAATTGTTTTGATAGAATAACGTTTAATTGATCATCTTGACATCTCAACATCAAGATATATAAATATGAAAAAGATATATAAATATGAAAAACAAAAAAAGATATTTCAAGTCTTAAAAAAGTATATAGGTTGCAACCTTGTGCAAGCCATACCCATATTTATATATGGCAAAAGTTTATATAGAGTTTCCGCTCCAAACAATCAAATTAAAGCCCACCTCAAAAATTTCACTAGAAGAGGTTGTTTTGATGTCCAAATATTCTCAAATTGGTCATCTTGACATCAAGATGTGTGGACATGAGAAAAAAATGGATTTCAAATTTTGGTAATAGTGCAGCTTGTAACGTATTTTTGGACCGTCATTTTTTAAGATTTTCAAGTTTTTATATATTTGTTCAATTTGCACTATTTTTGAAGCTTTAAGTTTTATAATTAAAGATGAAAATATACTTTAAGGCTATCACAAATATTTTCAGTATTGAAACCACATTTTGTGACGCTATTTGAAGGTGTGCTTTACTTTGATTATATATATATATATATATAGGGCCAGGTCAACCTTGATCTATATCCAACCTGACCTGATAAGGGTTAAGATGGACCTAAGCCCAGAGTAGGTGTAGGTTATTTGGACCCATAGTTAGCAAGTTTGTTTAAAACATGATTTTTTCAAAAACTTTCTGATTTTTTGAAATACGTTTAGAACTCCGAGTTTTTTAAAAGATCTTAAAAAAAATCACGTTGTTTTAATGGAACCAATATAAATATGTATTTTATCTTTGTTTCAAAAAAAATTTATTTCTTCATTAACTTAATATTATTGAATTTTGGTTTAAAGATGAGTACATTAATAGTGGGAGTAATCCATCAAAAATTTCACCAATGAGATCCCTTTAAAAAAGTGCACAAAACAGTACAAGCAATATATTCCTAAAAAAAAAAATAATTAGAACAATCATATATCTTAAAATAATGGGCAGAATTAGAAAAAGAGTGACTGATAGTTTTTTTTTTCCTTGAAACCCGAAGAGTTCGTATAAAGATCAAGAAATAGTACTAAAAATTTAGGTAGCGAGGAATTCAGTGCAAGATTCAAAATTTTGTCAAGCATTTTGTTGTTATATTTATGCATATAGAAGTTTGATTAATTTCAGATTTTATTTTTGTATTTTATTGGTATATATAATATAACATTTTGGATGGACAAATGTTTTACATATTTAGGTCTTTGTAGTTTCTTTTAATTAGCTGCAATCCTATATTGAGGGTGTTTTATGTTTTTTTTTTCTTTAAAAAATAATCATCTACCTTGATTCACAGTTCTTGTTATTTGCTAATTAGTTCTTATGTTTAGTATTGTTATTGTTGCTTCATATTGTTCTATCCCAAAAAATATATGATATGTTGTGCGATATGACAACAGAGTAAGCATTGTTGCTAGATTTTGTGAAAATGTCAACAAAAAATTGTTAAGTGTTACTTTATTGACATTAATAAGGCTATAAAATTATTGTTTAATGGCTTTAGTACTTTTGAACCAAATCTGAAATATTCACGATTCTATAGCTTACTCTATTTTTTGGCAATCCATATTTTTTACCTGATTTTTTTCTCTGATTTTTTGAAATAAAACCGATTTACTATTGATGTTTTATTATTCCCCGAATTGCTAACTATGTTTGGACCCAAGCATGAGCCATTGGGTCAAATATTTGGGAACGGATTCAGGCCCATGTCAAGTCCTCTCAATCCAATTTTTAAGTAATTCAGTGAAGATGAAGAGTCCCTGCCCGTTTTTTAATTTTGTTTTGTTTTTTTTAAAAAATTATAAGAATAAAAGTCTAGACCTTAGTTGGGCACCCCAAACCCAAACCCCTTCTCAACCCTGTTGTTTGTATATATAAAAACATGCTAATGTGGAGAGAGGAAAAAAACAAAAAGACAACCACCAAATCGCTATCATATGAGAGAGAGAGAGAGAGTATTTGTGGTATGGTGTGGTTGTAAGAGATTAATATCAATGGGGATACTGTGGGCGAATGTAAAATCTTCCAAATCTTTCCAAGGAGAAGTTGAGAACGGGTGGGAGTGCCATATTACCTACTCCAACCCCACCACCACCTACAACTCATGACCCACACAAAAACGTGTTAGGAGGATTTTTTTTGCTTAAGTATGTTTAGGAGTTTTTTTTCGTTTGATTTGAAATTCTTCATATTATCCTTTCTCATCTGATTTGAAATGCTTGAGATTGTCTTTTTCTTGGCTAAAATAGAATTTTAAACGGGCTCATGGCCAGGTGGTCAGGGTGGTAGGGTGTCAGGGGCAATCATATGGACTCAGACCCATATGGGTCGAGTCCAAGTCATATGAAATTGTAGATTGTCCACATATATATATGAAAAAAGTTTATATAAAGTTGCAGCTTTAAAATGTAGAATTAAAGATGCACCTCAAAAACCGATTGGAAAAGGTTGTTTTAATTTTAAAAAACTTTTTAATCGATCATCTTGACATTGAGATGTATGAATATAAAAAAAAAAAAGAAAAGATTTTGAGTCCTAAATATAGTGCATCTTGCAACACATTATCTAAACCGTCCATTTTCAAGATTTTCATATGTTTATAGATCTACTTGGTTTTAATTATTTTTGGAGTTTAAAATCTTATAATTAGATATGAAAATAGATTTTCAGATAATCCTAAGAATTTCTTACACCAAAATTACATGTTATTATAAAATTTGGAGGTGGACCTTAATTGGATTGTTTAAGGTTGCAACCTTATAGAAACCACACCATATATATGTATATTACTGGGTCGGGTCGGGTCGGGTCGGGTCGGGTCGGGCCATGCCCTTTGGACCTGGACACGAGCTCAAACCTGATTCAGATCAACCCACAGACCAAAACATAACGTCTTGAGTTCCATTCTTGCGACGGGTAGTAGATCCTATCCACACTGAACTACAAAAAAAGAAAAATTGATGATAGAATTTTGAAAAGGTATGATTTTGAGCTTAAAAATTGCTCCTAATCAAACCTCTCATATTGACTTGGGAGCAATCACTTAAAGAAGGTGGTTTGGTCATTTATGATTGAGGAACACTAGATCAGCCGATTTTTTATATTTTCTATTTTTTTTTTTTATCCATAAATGTCTGTCATAATTAGTCCCTGGTGATGAAGGGTCTGATTAAATTCTCAAAACCCTAGTATCAAGAATTCAAAAAAAAAAAATTCCGTCTGTTTTTGGACAATAGACCACCTTAGAGCTTTAGACCAGACAATCTTTTCCCATAAAGTAATGTCCACTTCTTAAAACATTCAAAATAAAAAAAAGTGCCTAGTTTTCTTGTTACTATTTTTGCGGTTTAGGTTTTATACTAAGTTTTGAGACTCGGTCCATGCTCCAAGTTTCTCTCTCTAAAAGATTAAGTTGGTTCAACGGTAGGCGTCCTATCTATCATTGTGAGAGCCAGGCTGCTATCATTCATGGGAACCAGAGTTTTATAACCTTTGGAAATATCATAGAGAAAAGAAAATGTGACCCCAAATGTTCGACATTTTTTTATGTTTTTAATGAATTATGTTGATCAAGATAGAATTGAAATCATCTTCATCAACTCAACCTTCGAAAAAATCCGAAGACGGGAGAGAAATAGGGCGGGCAA